TTTAACTGTCGGCATATTCGAGAAAAAATTATAAGGATTCGAGACTGCATTCTTCTTCGTAGGAGAAAAGACCGTCTAAAACGGTTTGCTTCAGGCCCCACGGCGACGGAGAGCTCCCAGAAGCAAATTTTCGTATTATTCTACTAAAGTACGGAACATTTACTGAAACTAAAGTTTTAAAAAAGCATGTTGGATAAATGTAAAAATCTATTACTGTTTTAAATATCGTCGTCGACATCCGTCCGTCTCGAGAGACGATGGAGTAGAGCAGTGTGCTACGAGACTGGGCGGATATATGGAGAATTAGGGCTGCCCGGACGTCTAGTTCCCCCTTGATAGCGCAGTCAAAAGGAGAGGATAAACCAATACAGTTTGGAAACCAACAGGGGTTGCCGGATGATAGCATAAAGTGCCGTCCATCCGCCTTGGGGGCTCCGCTCCAGGTTTGAATTCAGAGTTGTCCTTCTCCTAGACCAGTTGCACTCCAAGGCTATAGAAACCAGTCTATTTACCCATAGCTGGAGGGAGAAGAAGAACGTAAGTGAATGTAATGGATTCGACTGGAATTCGAACTCGGCTCCCCGATTCCTCAATCCAAGCATCTATCCATTACACAATGAAATTATATATATATATATATATATATATATATATATATATATATATATATATATATATATTTGGGTATGCTGTATACCATCTCCTTCACTGATTCCTAGTTACTTATAAGCTTCATCTTGTTCCAGTTCCCTAATCTTTGTGACAATTATTATTATTATTTTATTTCCTTTGATTTCTGGTGTGTACATATTTCTTTCCGGATCCCGCCCAGAGACCGAAGGTTAGAAATGACATCATGACATTTTCCACTGAGCAATTAAAAAAACAAAAAAAAAAAACAAACACATATTTTACATAGATAAACCCTTCGTAAAATGTGGGCTGTACTCGTGAGAACAACTTCTTGTATTTCTTTAAGGCATGGGGTTCTACGAATCGCTTCAATGAGTCTGCTGGAATTTTTTCGACCAATCCGAGGGCTCCAACTACAACAGGGATTGTTGATGTTCCCATGTGCAACATCTTTGAGATTTATTATTATTATAAGCTTATATAATATATGCGCTTATAATGTCTACTGTAACGAAAGATATTTTATTCAATGTTTCTTTGATATGCTAAAATCTTGGAGCCTTATGAACCTTTCCTTTCAATGGGTGACATATAGTATCTTTGTAAATTTCATTGGTTGTGATGTGATCTATGTGCACACGAATTGAACTAAATTTGGACAAGTGACAAGTCAATCTATGAGAGAAAGTGGTGAGTGTGTGGCCTATATGAGAATTTAATGTTTTGATTATTACTATCGGAGATGCGATATCCCAAAAAACGTAGCTGATACGCTGACATAATGAGATGAGAATATATCAATAATAAAAAAGGCTTCATATTCTTGAAACATTGAACGTCAAAATGCAATGATATTTTTTCCCAAATTTAGACAGCACTGAGTCGTGAAACAAAAGTTAAACAAGTAGTATTAACTCGTGCGCTAATGCTGTCTACATCTATAAACGCTATACTTAATGTATTGTGTACTCTTCGCCTTAAAATATAGAAAGTTTTACAATATGGATACGTATAACTGTGTTTTTCATTCTTAAACTGAATCCACAGTAAAAATGTGTTGTGTTTTGGCTCGATTATTTATATATGTTGGTCTGTGAATAGTAAGATTTATATAACGGGTGAAAGAGCAAAATTGTTCAAATAGTGTAACAGAATTGTTGTAATGGAATGTCCCACTCTCCCTATCGCCTATTTTGGACTGACCATATCAATATATATATATATATATATATATATCTGTGTGTGTGTGTGTGTGTGTGTGTGTGTGTGTTTGTGAGTGCGCAGGTATGCAGAAAATAGAAAAGAACACGTTGGGTGCATAATCGAGGGTTTCCTTAGTATTTTTGTTTTTATTTTTAAGAAGACAGTGCTCCATACAGAAGTAGAGCTTTATTATAATAATATTTTTTGATTATATATTTGATTTATATATATATATATATATATATATATATATATATATTTTGATTATATATATATATATATATATATATATATATATATATATATATTTTGATTTTTATATATATATATATATATATACTAAGCACAGGATATACTTGGGGTTTGCTTCGGTAATTAGTTGAAGATTCATCTCATGCTAAGCTAGTCGAAGTCTCTGCCTTCGGGCGGAGAGGAACCCAGCTGAGGCTATTCCGAAAGGCAGAGTCTCGTCTGGGGTGGTAGACAGCTACACGACCACGTTTTTTACGGGGTCTACGGGGAATTTTTTGCCCGAGGCAACGGGCTCGGATTTCCCCCCACGCATTAAAAAATGGCCTTGTGCCACATCCTGCCTCGCGGGGAGGTAAGGTAAATAACCTTACTTCGGTAATTAGTTAGAAATTCGTCTCCAGCTGTGCTGGTCGAACTGTCTCCCTCGGGCAAAGAGTAACCCAGACAAGGCTATGCCGAAAGGCAGAGTCTCGACTTGGGTGGTAGACAGCTGCCCGACCCCGTGTATACGCGCTCTACGGAAAATTTTTGCCCGAGCTTACGGGTGGACGTAAGGTAAATATCCTTACTTCGGCAATTACTAGCCTACTGCGTCCCTGTATTTCAGTAATGTATTCTTTTTTTATAATAAAACACTCTTTCTTTCATCTACGCCCGTGTTGCTGTTCCTTTCACTCGAGTACAACATTTGTCTGTTTATAACTTTCTTTAAAGATACAACAAGAATAATTGTCCATCCCAAAAAAGACCTTCAGCCATCTTGACACCATTTGACCCCTTTGAGTTATTCACCTATTCAGGTTAAAATCATTTTGTGCTAGCCACAGTGTTTCCCCACTGAGCCTTGGTGAGAGGAAAAAGATCATTTAGGCCTTCAGGAATGGTATGAACATTCATTGGCTGGCTACCATCTGCAAATACATTCAGGGACCATGAACAGAATGATGAATAAGTTTAAAGAGTGAATAGCAAAGAAGAAAACTGGATTAATGGGTCACAACAGGAAGAGGGATCATCGTTTGAACTTAGAGCGAAAGAAATCAATTAGAAAAGATCTAAATCAATCCGTAAGACGTTTGGCAAGTGAGAGAGGAGTTTCATCTATGGCAGTCAAAGAGCAGTGAAAAAACAGTTGACGATGAAATCATACGTGAAGATTTGAGGCACCTTCTTACAACAGGACAGAAAGGTTAGAGAGGGCGAAGATCATCTTGAATAAGTTTGAAAAATGATACTGGAATGACATATATATATATATATATATATATATATATATATATATATATATATATAAACTTAATTTCAATCATTCGTGAGTTTCCGTTTCTTACCTATGATTAAATTATGATGAAAATGTCTTTTTCGTTTATAATCGATTTCATTACAATTCTTTTGTTAAATCAGGAGAGTAATTATGGATTATTATTGCTCAAAGTAGAGCCCCATAGTGATATGAAAATCCTCGGAGAATTCCAATAAAATATCTTTTCTAAGTTACATCGGTTCAAAACTTAATCTAACAATTGGATAATTTTGCATTTACACCCGGGCTTTTGTTCATATTTAGTAAGATTCATTTTATTTATTCTGACATTTATTGGGTGGCGAATAATGGTTATATTTGAAATCATTCTAGAGGCAAGGAATGACCTGTTAATTTGTCACTCATCCAAGACGAAACTGCCTTCTTTTTCATCGTCTTATAGAACCGTTGATAAAAAAAAAGAGGTTTGCATCAGCCATACAGATGGAAGACAAAATCAACATGGCTGACACGAACATCCAGGATATCAATACCTTGTACCTTCTCGGATTAAAGTGACAAGAACTGAAAAGATTATATTGAATCAATCGCTAGGAACCATAGTTCACTGTGTCGGGCTACACAATTTTAAACATAAAGTCTACCGTTCGTCCATGATTAGAATATTAATGTCTGGCATAGTTTGATGTTCCTGCTATATATTTAGAGATACTTGAAGAAATCCAAAGAATAATCTGCAATGATATTGGTCCTGATCTAGCATCTCGGTTTTAACCACTTTCCCACCGCCGTAACGTAGTTCCGTGTGGCTTTTCTATGAATATTTTCATAGTAATTGTTCTGATGAATAATTCTCTATTGTAGACTTTATGAATTTAAGCTCAGTGCTAGATTGACGGAAAGATCTCATCATTTTTCAGTTGAAATGGCTAGATGTAACCGTAAGTTCTATGCTAACAGTTTCTTCTCTCGTAATTCTCGCTTGTGGAAACTTTTTGTGGAACTTTTTAGTTTCTTGCTTTCCAGTCAACTTTGGTCTTTAAAAAATTAAATGCAATGTCAATCGTTATATTATGTCTTCTTAATTCCCGTTCTTTTATTGTTCACTCTCCTGAATACTGTTTTATTTTTTCTCTCACAATCAGTATTCCCTTCCGTCTTAATGGCTTTATTGCCTTGCTTAGAGTGAAATGATTAAAAAATAAATGTGGGTAATAAAATAAATATAGTAAAAATAAAAAAAATTACGATGGGAGAACGTGAAAGGTAGATAAAAAATTATTTTGTTAAGTTGAAATTTAATATTAATTTGGAATATTTAAGGCCAAATTTAATGTGGGGAAATCCATGCCTGTCGGCTCGGGCAAAAATTGCCCGTAGACCCTGTATACACGGGATTGTGTATCAGTCTACGTCCCCGGACGAGGCTCTACTGAAGGGCAGAGTCTCGTCCGGGTTCCTCTCTGCCTGAAGGCAGAGAGTTCGACACGACAAGAGATTCCCACAATGACAGATCACGCTTATTACCAATTTCAGTAGTCAGTGTTCAAGTTCTGCTAGAAACCAGAATAGAAAAAAAAACGGTTTTACTCTTTCTACTTAAAATATGAGCGCACGACAATGATCATGTCTGCTTTTAAGAAGAAAGTCAAATAGAAGAAGAGGGTGGCAGAGAAAGATTTAAGCTGGAAGAGTGATAAAGAAAACAGAGTGACAATGAAAGCGAGAGAGGGGGGGAAATAGATAGAGACTGAAAGACATAGGAAGTAAAGGAAATAAATAAAGACTTTGAAAACGATGAAAAATAGAAAGTAATAGAAAGAGAGGGGAAGAGAGTGTTGAAGAAAGTTGAAGGCAGGGGGAGAAGGAAAGAAATAGGGTAAAAATGAGATGCTGACAAATCAAGAAGAGAGAAAAAAGAAGTGGATCAAAAGGAAGAGGAGACGAATTGAAAGAAAAATGGCCGGAATGTAAAAGGATTTCCTAAGAAGGCGAAAGAAAGAAGAAAATCGGGGAAAAAAAGGACAAAAAAGATAAAAAAAAAAGAGAAGATACCAAGAGAGAGGGGAACGGATTTAGAAGAAAGAAAAAGAGAGAGGGAGCGAATAAAGAAGAAAACAAGAGGGAGATGAAAGCAGGCGGGTGAAGAAACAATGGGTGGCAAGCCAGAGAGAGGAGGAAGCGACCGATAGAGACATGAAATCAATACACAGAAGGAAAAAAGTAATGAAAATAAAAAGAGAGTAACGCAATAGAGAGTGAAGCTATAGAAAAGAAAGCAAGAAAGTGGAAAAGCCAGAGCGAGGGGAGAAACCACTAGATGTAAGAGCTAGAGAAAGAGTAGGTAGAGTGAGACAATAGAGAGAAAGAAACAATATGGGAAAGGAAGATAGGGAAAGCCAAAGAGAGGCTAGAGAGAGGCGGGAAAATAATAGAAAGGAAATCAAGTAAGAGAGAGAGAGAGAAAGAGAAAGAGAGAGAGAGAGAACGAAGCATTAGAGAGAAAAGCAAGAGAAAATTAAATAAAGTATTCAAGAGAGCAAGAGAGAGAAAGAGAGACAAAGAACTAAACGAGAGAAATACAACAGAAGAGAGGAAAGCAAGAGATATGGACAGCCAGAGAGAGGCAGGAAACCAATAGAGGGGAGAGATAGCGAGAGAAAGAGGAAAACAATGTAAACAAGAAAGAATGAGAAATAGAGACAGACAGACAGAGAGTGACAGAAAAAAAATAGAGAAGCAAAAAACAATGGAGAGGAAAACAAGGAGAGAAAGCTAGAGAGAGGGAAAACCAGAGAGAGGTAAGCAAAAGTGATAGATAGAGTGAGATATAGAGAAGGATTAGAGAGAAAGTAAACAATAAAGGGGAAAACAAGAGAGAAGGAATGCTAGATATAAGGAAAGACAAAGAGAGGAAAAACAAAAGAGAGGAAAGAGAGATAGAGAAGAAATAGAAGGGAAAATAAGAGAGGGGAAATGTTAGAGAGAGAGGAAAAGCTAAAGATACGATGGAAACCAATAGAGAGGAAAGAGAGATAGAGAGCCAAAAAACGGGGGAAAGAAAGCAAGAGAAAGCAAGAGAGGCCGAGAAAAACAATTAGAAGGGCGTAAAAACAAATAGGAGTGAAGAGCAACAGAAAGGAAAGCAAGAGATCTCCATTGCTTTCTTTTCCATTGCCCAAATTGAGAATGGAAACCGATAAACAATGTCAACAGTAAGAGAGATAGAGGGAAAATAAGAAAAATAGAGAGAAAAGCAATCGATAGAAAGCGAGAGAGAGAGTGTGAGAGGCAATAGAGAGAGAAAAACAACAGCCCGTAAAGAAAGAGAGAGTGAAAGCCAAGGTGAAGCGAAAAAAACCAATAGAGGAAGGCAAGAGAGAAAAGAAAGAAAAAGAGAGAATAAATAGAAGGAAAGAGAGAAAAAGTAAGAAAGAGAGTGACATCAATATAGAGGAAATGACGAGTGAGACACTGAGAGAGAGAGAGAGAGAGAGAGACAAAATGAAAGAGGAAATAAGGTAAGATGGAGAATTAAACGTGTAGAAGAAAATAAACCAGAAGGAATGCAAAGAAGCGAAATATGCGGGAAAAAGTAAAAGAAAATCGAAGCCAATGATTACATCCCAAATAAAAAGAATTAAGAGCAAAGGCAGAGTTAAACAGGAAGTAAATTCTTCTGTTTATGTATGCGTGCGCATGCGCAAGAGTGCAATTTGAGTGCATATGAACGGATAGTTGACTGAGGTTTTGTGTTTGTGTGCCCGTCAGCTTGACTTCCGATAGAGCCCAGAATTCCCGCATATATTATGCAAATCAGGCAGAGACGAAAACAGAAAAGATGACAGAAAGGAACTTAGCGTAAAAAGACATTAAGACGTCTCTCTCACTTTCTCGCGCACTCTCGCGCACTCTCGCTCTCTCAGAGAAAAATAGATAGAGACAAAGATATTTCCAGAGAGAGAGAGAGAGAAAGAGAGAGATAGAGAGATAGATAGAGAGAGATGCAGACATGTGATGAGGAGAGAGATAGAAAATGTAAAATTTAAAAAAATTATGAAATGTAGAAAATTGGTTATTTTCTCTCATATTTTTACTTTCAACAAACTGGAAATCTGCATAAAATCTACAAAAAAAAAACAGATATTAAAACCAGAAGTGATTGGTCATGAAAAATATTCTTAAGACTTACCTTAATCTACACACACACACACACATATACATATATATATATATATATATATATATATATATATATATATATATATATATATATATATATATATAGAATATATATATATATATATATATATAAAGACGAAAGGAAAACTCCTCTTTGGCCTCTGATAGACTTAATCATCAAGGGAGGAGCGCGTCGGCCTACGTAAATTTTCCTTTTGTGTCATATATATATATATATATATATATAAAAAACAGACCACTTTTGAGGTACCATTATAATAATTTATTTCAGCAAAGCCCTTTTAAAGGATGCCGGATCATCAGATAGCACTTCTAAAAATGAAATGAAAGGAAAAAAAAAAAAACAGACATATATATATATATATATATATATATATATATATATATATATATATGTTGACGTCTATGTTCACCTTTATATTTACACACGCTCTATCACTGATATTGAGCACTTTATCCTATAAATATAGCACATCTTAAGACTATATTTGTTTCGCATATATATATATATATATATATATATATATATATATATATATAGTTTTAGTCATAGTCTTTTTACAGATTATTTTAGTTATATCTGAATTCTTACGCACACGTATATATATATATATATATATATATATATAGACGCTTGGGAATGGCAGGTGCTGTAAGGTCGGATGCGTGGATGGTGTAATGGAAAATGACTCTGAATTATTAATCGGAAAGTCGAGTTCTAATTCCAGTTGGGTTCACTTATACACAAATACCCTTGGGTAACGAATGAAGCCTCCTCTTCTCTCCCCCGCTATGGGTTAAATAAATAATAATAATGAATGGGTTAAATAGTAAGAATCCTTATTATCTCACAACAATTTCTTACAGTTCTATATTTTATTTTTACAATTTTACATATATATATATATATATATATATATATATATATAGATAGATAGATAGATAGATAGATATGAACAGACTGAGATAGATAGATAGATATGAACAGACTGAGAGATAGATAGATATGTAGACTGAGATAGATAGATACAGATAGATAGATAGATAGATAGATATGAACAGATACATAGATAGATAGATATGAACAGACTGAGATAGATAGATAGATATGAACAGACTGAGATAGATAGATAGATAGATAGATAGATAGATAGATAGATAGATAGATATGAACAGACTGAGATAGATAGATAGATAGATAGATAGATATGAACAGACTGAGATAGATAGATATGTACAGACTGAGATAGATAGATAGATAGATAGATAGATAGATAGATAGATAGATAGATAGATATGAACAGACTGAGATAGATAGATAGATATGAACAGACTGAGATAGATAGATAGATATGAACAGACTGAGATAGATAGATAGATAGATAGATAGATAGATAGATAGATAGATAGATAGATTGAATGTGAACAGAGAAGGATAGATAGATACATAGATAGATATGAACAGAGATAGATAGATAGATAGATAGATAGATCGATAGATAGATAGATAGATAGATATAGAATTAATGCAAATATGAAATTTGTCACTAAGCTGATTGATGTTTAGCTTTTGTGTAATTGCTTGGTCCGCTCGTATCTCCTGACGAGTGATCCGAACAATTGTACTTTTATCTATACATAGGGCGTACCTTAAAACTCGGACAATATCAGTGCCGTGGCGAGAAGAGAATGTCTGCATGCACATCCGCTGATCTCTCTTAAAAGTCCAGGCATGCGACTTGAAGAGGACACTCCTGCGTCGCTTCAACGTTGTTCTTGACTAATAGATGTAATTTGTGAGCATTTACAAGTTTGGTTTTAATTTTCTGCACCGATCTATTTTCAAAGAGAATACTATTCTGCTACACAGCTACAGTAGTAAAGTAACTTGTTGGTAGAACTCTCTGTACTAACGTGATGGCGGCACCTCGAGGTGATGTAATGGTTCGTAAGCTTGTCACGCTAGAACAATTACGACTGAATAGTGAGTTCGATCCTCTTATATTTTCGGCCTCGTGCCACATCTGAGCTATGCTTGGAAAATCACTATACTGACGTGATGGTCTACAACGAGTGATTTTATATATTGCCCTCTGTTAGACACCATAATATTTTGAGTTCAGTTCAACATGGTTACTTTAGTGGGGATTCAGTAACCCCACGTCTCTATACGAGGTATCTCTTTGTTAAACCAGCACCCTAGACACTTAACTAGCGTATCTTAAATGGTTATAGAATTCATTCGAGTCCCATTTTAACTTCCATCAATCCAGACCTTCTGTTATACCGGAGCACACCTATTCTATTGTTAATAGACTCTCCCACAGATAATAAGTAGTAGTAGTAGTAGTAGCAGTCGCCAGGAGGCTCAGTGAGTTGGTCCGAGTTCAGTCTGAAGTCGGACGACCGGCTGACCGGTTGAACTCTCTGCCTTCGGGCGGGGAGGAACCCGAACGAGGCTACGCCGAAGGGTGGAGTCTCTTTCGGGGTGGTAAACCGACCCTGAACCCGTTTATACGGGTTCAAAGGGCATATTTTTTGGCCGAGCCCACGGGCTCGGAGATCCCACGGGCTCGGAGATCCCACGGGCTCGGAGATCCCACGTTAAACCGGCCTTGTGCCACATGATGCCCTCGTGAGGGGGGGGGCTAAATACTCTCAGTGAGTTGGTCATGTCAGTCGATATCGGACATTAAAGTATCAACCACCACAACTAGATTGCTGCGTCATTAACTATTATTTCAAGTTCCTAACATTTTGTACATTGAACCCTTTTAGGACCGACTTAGTGAAATGCAAGCCTCCACTGTGAAAACTACTCTACAAAACCTTCACAGCTAAAACCTGCTATGTTACACCCTCGTTGGCAAACAATTATCGTTCTCTCCGTATTCCCGCTGTAAGGAGGAAGTTCGCATTTCTCGAAGAACAGTTACGTATTTACATTGTTGGGAATGTTGTCCTCATCTTTATTGCCATATTCACGACATTTCGGCCATTATTGGGAATATTGTCCTCATCTTTATTGCCATATTCACGACATTTCGGCTTTCTGGAGGTGATTGGAATTTTGAACAGAAACCTTTACTTCGACTAACGCGGGGCGATTGTTCTTGTTCCATGTGCCTTGCTTCTTTCGGATTAAGTCAAGTCTCCAAGTTTTTGTTCACAACTGCGGCAGCCAGATATTGAAATAACAGTTCTTTGCTCAAGTCACGGGATCCAACCAGTGCTTTTATCCACTGGGTCATGTGTCCAAGAAAAAAGATAGGTTTATCCATATCTTTTTCTCTCTATGGGTTTTTTCTTCTCTACCCCTTCGATATCAATATATAACTTCCGTTAAGTTAACCGTTTAAATGTGTCAATATCTGCTAACTCACTTATGTCTTCTCTCTCTCCCCCTCACTTCCTCACTTCGTTAATTTACATATGTTTAATACGGCCCGTCAAAAATGTGTAAATTTTCTTTTCATTTTTTGTTTGGAAGTAAAGTCTGATGATCCGCAGTCCTTTTAAAAGGGCTGTGGTGTAATAATTTATTACATGGAACCTTAAAGTGGTTTGTTTTTATTTAAATTATATATATATATATATACTGGGAGTAACATCAAAATCGTGTAGCGGCATGGGATAATTGTCCGGCCTACAAAATATTTAATATCTAAGAAACGACTGACTTTCTTTTTCTTAGGCTTTCAGATATGTCGTTTAGCCATCTTAACACCATTTGCAGTAAAATAACTGATTAAAATTGTTTTTTGTCAGCCCCACTATATCTGCTGAACTGAGCAATGGTGAGAGGAAAAAGATCATTCAGGCCTTCAGTAATATTAGCAACAATCATACTCTGGCTTCCATCTTCAAATTCCATTCGAGAACTATCAAGGGAAAAAGAGGGGGCGGTAGAGAGCAAAACTGGATCAAGAGCTTACAACAGCAAGGGGGATCATCTTTTCACGTTAGAGCTAAATACATACTTATTCTTCATAATAGAGTCTAATAGTGTTATAAAAAACTCGGAGAATTCCAGTAAGATATCTTTAATCATTTCTAAGATAAAACTTAATCTAACAATAGAACAATTTTGCTGTAAAAGCAAAATTGTCCAAATCGTGTGATTTGGACAATTTTGCTTTTACACGCGGTATATAATGTTACCATAACATTTATTAAATTGTTCTTTGTGACAGAGGCGAACGTATGTTTGTTCAGAATCAATTATACTGGCTTGCCCAGGCATATGTCAAGGTCTGTTAACCGTGTGATGTTATTCGCTCTGGGACACAAAATATGACGTATAGATTGAAAGGGATGCAACACAGCTGATGACAATTTCACGCGTATCTATCTATCTATCTATCTATCTATCTATATATATATATATATATATATATATATTAATCGAACATTCGGCGTTCTTGTTGACATTTAAATGAGCTCGCTAAAAGGACGCATCTAATGTTATCAATACAATGGTCCGTTGGGTCGAAATATGCAGTCACATTGGAATTTTAAAATCCTTTTAGAGTCTCCGTTTAAATGCAAACAAGAACGTCGAATATCAGAGTTAAAATACATTTCTAATATAAATTTACACATTCTAGGTTTAAATTTGAATTTAGACATACTCAATGAATATAGTTTCCAAAAAGTCATCCTCGAACCGTCTATACTAACCGTTGAAAAAAAATAAAAAATAAAAAGCTATCAGATCTCTTCAGTAATATAACACATGGGAGAAAAATTCCCACTACGTTTTTTTTTATTTCTCGTTGCGTTGAGTCATGTCCGAAACTTCCGATAGTTACCATCTTTCTCATCATGCTTCCATTTCATTTCTCTGTTTTCTTGTGATTAAGTGGATGCAAAATTTGTCTGTATTGTTCATTATCCCAAGCGCTTTCCACCATATCTTTAGCTAGTTTAAAGGGAATTCGTTTTAGGCCGTGTTAATATCTCTTTAATTTTGGCCGTTTTAGATGTGCTTTTCTGTTGTTCAAAACACGAGTAGAAGAGTTTATTCTGAGGTTCGAGTGTTGAACGCGGCAGGAATTGAAGTGAACGTTCTACTATTGTTTTAAAAAATACTTTCAATATCTAATTACCACTGTTGAATAAGGTGAGGTTGCGAAATGTTTTATATACAGTACCGCTCTCATAGCGAGATTTTTCTGGCAATTGGATTTATATAGAATTTTTGCTTTTGTCAATCAGAATTTTCCTTAGCGGATACTGTAAACCGTATGTGGTTAGATGATTTTTTATAGCACTTTGATCTGATAAGTGACATATGAATCATCATCTCAAGGAGGTGGTAGTATGTCCAATATACGTAAATGTTTTGTGATAAGAGACAGTCTTGTACTGGGCAGTGAAATTGATACCCTATAGTGGTCATCGCTAGTTTATTGCGAGATCGTATGTGTTCATTTTTGTGTAATTTCTTATCACGATTCAGTTTAGAACTTACTGATGCTCCGTCGTAATATTCTACATTTAACATAGATTGACTATATGCCTCATACTGCAAAGGATGAATCATAAAATGATTAAATGCTAAGAAAAAGTCAGTTCTCAAAAAACGCTTTTTATCATTTCTTAAAAAAACACCAAAAAAGTATGCGTAAATGGTGATTTTGATTGGTGCGTGCATGATATGAACGCACCGGCCATATTTACCCATCATGCTTGCCTGGGGGATTAACTGTTCCTATTTTCACAATACATCTGCTGGCCGACTGACGATTGCGTGAAAGAATGAATTTGACAGTAGTGCACCAGATATTTAATTTATAACTGAGTAAATCTTCTTATATATATATATATATATATATATATATATATATATATATATATATATAATTATTTATTTAAAATATGATTCCAACTCGCGACATAAGAGGTCTCAAATTTCAAAACAAGAGCCGAAAACTTCAATATAATTATTTGAATTAAATTGAGTTAAAGTGAGCTCTGTTCCATCTTCAAGCGAAATTTTTTACAAAAAATTTCGCTTATGTCGCGAGTTGGAATCATATTTTTAAATAAATAATTATATTTATGCTCTACTTTTGTATCGAGCACTATTTTAAAAAATAATAACTAAAATACTAAGGAACTTTGGATTACTTACCTAACCAGTTCCTTCCTATTTTCTATATATTTTCATATATATATATATATATATATATATATATATATATATATATATATATATATATACAGAGAGAGAGAGATTGATAATATTAGTGGTAAATATACACATACATATGCAATACTATATCTAAAATATATAAATATATATGCATACATACACATACATATATATCTGTATAAAAATAATTCCAAGAGGATAAAATCCAGGTAGAACTCAATGTCCAGGACAGGTAAGAATATAATTAAAAGGCTTTTTATTATATATATATATATATATATATATATATATATATAGTGTTGTAAATATATATATATATATATATATATATATATATATATATATATATATATATATATATGTTGTATATATATATATTTTGTTATTAATTTCGCTGTTTAAGAAAATTAGGAAAAACAGGGATTGCAAGTCAAATATGTTTACCCACTACAAATAACGTTATAGAACAACCATCTGACTGTTGGCGCGTAATGTAGGAACGTCGCGCCAAATTCTAATCGATATCTAGGGCATAACGTCCCTTTTCACACATATATTAATGGGTCAGGTCTTCTCAACTTGATTGGTAACCAATATAGGAGAAAGAAATCTCTGCGATCAATAAAGAGGGATTCGTCAGATTATATTGTCGACGACACAATCACATGTTAAAAACGATCTTAGTTACCGTAATTGTGGTCATGGCCGAAACAGAATTTAGCAACGGAATTATTTCACTCTTTTAATCATCCCACTTCATGCAAGGTAAGAAAGCCACTAAGACACATTGAGTTATCGAGTGGGAATAATAAGGAAAAAGAGAAATATATTTAACGATCGAGAATAATAGTAATATATTAAGAAATGCACAAAGTCCGACAATTTATTTATTAAAGATATTTTTTATGTTTAACGTTCTTTTTAAAGATACAAGTATTTAAGTAAATGCTCTGTTTATAATAAACAGTATTAAATAACATTTACCGGCCTGAAGGTCCGAGAAATTTTCATAGAAAATATTCGTCAGGACGAATATTTTCTATGAAAATTTCTCGGACATTCGGATACTTAAATACTTGTATCTATAAAAAGAACGTTAAACATAAAAATGTCTTTAATAAATAAATAATTTAATGTAATCAGGGAAACAGTAGATTAACGATGTATTTTAATTTTGAAGATCACAATTGACTGGAAAGCATGAAGCGGTGAAAGAGTTCCACTCGCGAGAAGTGCGAGAAAAACAGTTATCATAGGACTTACAATTATATCTAGCCATTTAAACTGTGAAATAATGAGACTTTACCGCCAATATGGTACTGCGCTTAAATTCATAAAGTATAGTTAACATAGCAAAGAGATCGTTCGAACTATTACCATGAAAGTATTTATAGAAAAGGCACGGAAAGAGATTTTAGCCGAGATGCAAAGTCATGACTAATAATATTGCTGATTCTTTGGATTTTATCACGAATAAATTCTATGCTAAATATCTAGTTTTCATACTGAAAATGATTAGTATTATTAGGTTTTATTTAACCCCAAAATGGAAACTCTTCTTTAATTTAAAGTTTGACAAAGATTCTGACTGGGCAATTTATTTTAAAACCATTTAAAAGCACAAGTCATGTAATTTTGTTTTATTTATTTATTTTTTTGAAGCCCATTAAACTATAATCAATAAATTGTATTCAGAATACTCGCAAAAGCCAGATCCATCACAAACGTCAAAAGATTTAAAAAAATAAACAATAAATTGCTGTTATATTTGGACCTCATACACGACTAACATAATTTTTAAAAGAGTGGGGCCCTTCATTTATAAATTAACATTAAAAATAGAAAGCACTTGAAGGTAACATTTTCAATTACTCGAAGTATTTTTAATGTTATTAATTTATTACCAGATTAATTCAATTTCATTATTATTGCCTTTTTCGTCATTATTATTATTATTTCAAACATTTTTTTTATTCTTGATTTCTGATGGGTTAATTAGTCTGCAGCTAAAGGCCACATAATCCTTGGGACCTCGTGTCAGCTCACTTAAGCATGTCAATGATACTAAAACCCAGAACACATTACTATCCCTCACTGTCACAGATCTGTCATCCGTTCAACTCGTTAGGAAGTTTGGTGTATTTGTAGGCTCTTGAAAAAAAAAAGAAAAATCTGAAATGTTATTGGTCCTGACCTGACATCTCGGCTTTCGTCACTTTCCCACCGATTTAAAGTAGCTTCCCTTTATCTTTTCAATAAATACTTTCATAGGAATTGTTCGGATGAACTCTCATCTTTGGCATCCCGACTCTATCAATTCAAGAGCAGTAATAGATTGGCAGAAAGATCCCATCATTTTCCAGTTGAAATGGTAAAATACAACCGTAAGTTCTATGTTAACAGTTTCTTCTCACGCACTTTTGTGACTCTCTTTCGTCAAAAATTTAAGTGCAGTGTCAATCTTTATCTTCTTCCTCTTCTTTTATTCCCTCTTGAAAATGTTTTCGTATATTTTTTTCACAGTAAACCAGTGCGTATTGACTTTCGTAAAATAATAAAAAAAAACACATATGTATTGCGAAAAGGAAATTAATATCGAGATGACACTAAGTAATATAATTTAGGCATGCTGCTAAACGAAAATATATTAATATATAATAATTTATTGGGGGAAAATGTATGTCATCGTAGAAAAAGATTTTCTGTGACGCGTTTCGTCTTATAGAAATTCATCAAACTAAATTTTGTTATAACAATGCATCTACGCATGCGCACGAACGGGGCATGTTGGGAATTTAAAATTTTAATATTTATGTTTTTTTTTTGTTTTTTTTATATAGCCGATTTCATTCGGATTCTTTTCCCTAATATTGTTCTTGATATGTAAAAAAATATATCATTATGTCATATTTATTTATATAAAATATAATATGCATTCTAATACATTTTTTTATTTATAGCAAATGGGCAAGCCAGGGAATCATATATTTTTACGTAATTTGACATTTGGTTTAGATTATTTTTTAGAAGTCTATAAGAAACTAAAATCAAACTGCAAAGGTACGTAAATATGAAATCATTTTTATGGAACAGGTAAACCAGTACATTAATAAATGATAGAGGGAAGGACATATAAAGAATAACAAAAACATAGAAAAACCGAAGAATTTAAATAAAAAATGATAGAAATACCAGAAATGACAGAAAGAAATAAAAAAATCCATATAAAAAAGAAAAAAATAGAATAGACATTTGATTAGATCTTTAAACTCAATGAAGACCCAAATAAAAAAAAAAAAGATTAAATCTTGAATGTCGCTTCTAGTGGAAATGCCACCATTTTTTCTTGTCTCTTTTGGACATTTTTATTTTTATTTTTTTATCCTTCTTGTTCTTCTGTCTGCGCGTTGTGATTAGAGCTTCTTTAACGTCAGTAGGTCACGTGCACAAAAGAACCAGGACTTATATTAGCATGAGTCTGAAAATAGACTTGGAATTTTCTTTTACGATTTTGTTTCGACCTTTTCTTCCGTGGACATTAAGCGAAATCTGCTGACGACAACAGCTCTTGAATGTTTCCTTATTGGCAAGAAAATAAGATGCATGTAGCGATCTTGAAAACAGAGAACGGGGGAGTTTATTTTTTCATCATTTCACCCAAGAAAGGCGACAAACTCCTCTAGAACGCTGGCGTTTTCAGGAAGTGAAAGTGAAAGTGAAAGAGAATGAAAAGACTGAGAATTGAGAGGCAAGGACAGAAAATGAACAGTGTTCAAGAAGACATAAGATGGCGATTTATGTTGCATTTCAATGTTTGAAGATAGTATATAACATGAAAACAAGAAATCAGAAGGAACTATTAGAGCATAAATGGCGGTTGCATCCAGCTATTTCAACCTTAAAACAATGGGAACTAGTTGCCAATCTAGTAGCAGTCTTAAATACATATAATCGGGGTAGCAACGGAAAGTGCTCATCAGAGTAGTTGCCATGAAAGTATTTGTAGAAAAGACAGATGGAATCCACGTCACGTCGGTGAGAAAATGATTGAAGTCGAGACGCATAGTTATGATCGATAATATTGCAGCCACTTTTTGGATTTTGTCACGAATTGAGATATGTACCAGACCAGTTATGGAAACAGTATTCAGTGCACCGACGAGCGGTAGATTTGTAAATGTGCAAAATGGATTCTGACAAAAAAAAATCTTTTGACACGGCACAGTGAAGCAAAATTCCTTGTAATAGACGTAGCAATTGATTTGATTCAGTCACTCCATTTCATGACAGTGTAAATCGTGAGGCCAAGAAGTAGTGAGATAGTGAGAGGGAGAGCAAAAATGGTATCTTAGTCGAGTGATATTTCCGGCACTCTATAGAAACACATTTATGTTTTCAAAAGTCTCTTCTTGATGTGTGAACACACGCAAACACACACACACACATATGCACACACACGTGGGCATATGTATAGACACCATTTTGGTTCTTGATAATGACCGCGAAAGTCGAATGTACTTGAACAAAAATAACAAAATATGAACTTCGGTTAGTATATCCACAAAAATGTAATAAAAAATTAAACAGACTTTTGTCTGTTCTTTTTAATAAAACTTGTTTGGATGAATACTTGCTGCCTAAATATACCTTATTCCTATATATATATATATATATATATATATATATATATATATATATATATATATATATTTGGCAGCATCTTTTTATTTTATTGAGACAGAATTCATTGAATAATCTCGACAACTTTTGTCTACCTAATTTCACTTGGACCTTTTCATGTTCATGGTCATACTTTATCGTGTCATTATTAAAGGTAGAGAGAAAATTACTGTGTTGATACATATTCATGATGACATTGTTCTAAAGTCGAAACTCGAAAGAAACAATATGTATCAACACGATAATTTTCTCCGTGAATATGAAAAGATCAAATTGAAAATAAGTAGACAAATTATTGAATGAACGTTGTCTCATTAAGAACTAGAATTATTGAAGTGTTATATTTATGGGTTTGTGTATCTTGTTGAATTGTCCTCCATTTCTTTTATATATATATATATATATATATATATATATATATATATATATATGTGTGTGTGTGTGTGTGTGTGTGTGTGTGTGTGTGTGTGTGTGTGTGTAAATATAGGAAGTTGTAGCCTCTTTCTGTCTGTTTATCGAACTCCTCCAAGATTTTGGGAGATAGAATTCCATAACCATATATATATATATAGATAGATAGATATTCTGAAACTAAATTACCCAGGCTACTTGGATAAGCATATTTGATTTTGGTCAAAGGGGATTACCGAGGGGTACCCCCCCGCACACAATGAAGTTTTTTCTCCCTTTGATTTAAATTAAATTTAAAGTTGGACAAAGCAATGACTCCTATCCAAAATATAGAAGGAGAAATCCAGAAGATGGAGGTCACATTGTCAAGATCATTGTGTAATTTGAAATGCATCATGTGTCTCCACAAATCATAACAATGATTTAAATAATGATCATTTTCTTAAAAAACATGCGTGACACGCTGCAAGGCGCGGGTAATTCAGGTAGTATTTTATATCATTTAATTATTATTTAGGCTAGTTACATGTTTTATATTAGTTCAACGGTGTGAATTGTATAAAAACGGATACCAATAATCCTGCCTTCCTTGTCATCAGTAAAATCTCTCATTGTCTATATATATATATATATATATATATATATATATATAGTATTTATGCACGTATATATATATATATATATATATATATATATATATATATATATATATACGTATATATGAGCTGTATGCCAATGAAATTTGAAATAACTTTTCCCAAAAAATATATTAATGTTTCTTTTTTTAAATTTTCCCCAAGGATGTTTGACATCTTCAGGATCCAATTAAATATAACTTTACTGACATAGACAATTATAACACAGACATTTGATTGGCCAATCCTGCTAATCAGAAAAGAAATATGGTGCCGATAAACATGAAGTATTGACAACAGAAGACCGAAACTTGAATGTAATGGATGGATTTGAAGAAAATTTTCTACGGATAATTTTATGAGACTCAAAATGTACCCTCTCTTTAAAACATGGCGCTAAATTGTGTTTGCCTACCTGCGAACGCTTGCCGCCATTTCACTCCTAGCTAGACAGTTTGGTCTCAACTCTGGTTCAGGTCACTCCTAGATTGCTATCTTAAAAGCTCTCTCAGATCAGTGCTTTGAAGTTAACAAGTTCGGATTGACTGCCTTTTATCGGGACCACGGACCTGGAGGAGGACAACAAATTCAAACAGTTGTCTAAATGGAGTTGACAAACACACGTACAGTGTTAATGATTAGTAAGACGAAGAGGGAATTCAAAGCAAAGCTGAATATAAGAGCGATTAATTTAAATAAAATAACCTCGCCAATAAATGTGCCCGATCGAACTTCAATAAGCAATTCCATCTAAGTAAAATTAACTAAAGATAAAATCCTATCTGTGGTTCAATTGTGGCGCTCCGATTGCTCAATGCGACCTGTGATGCTCGTGTCAAAATATTGTGATTAGATTGCATCACAATTGTGTAGCTTTCTGACATACCACGATGAAACAGCGTTACTCTTACAACCACTGAAGTTAAGCAACGTCTATCCTGGTCAGTACCTAGATGGGCGACAGCTTGGGAATATCAGTTACTGTAAACTAGGAAGTACGAGTGGTATAATGGGCTCACGTCTATATCACGTTGAAATAATTGTTCTCCGAAGTTAAGTAACGTCGAGACTAGTCAGTAACTAAAATGGGTGACCGCTTGGAAATATCAGGTGCTGTAAGCTTGGATGTACGGGTAGTATAATGGGATTACGTCTATATCACGTTGACATACCGGTTCTCATATAACCACTGAAGTTAAGCAACGTCTAGCCTGGTCAGTAGCTAGATGGGTGACCGCTTGAAAATATCAGGTGCTGTAACCTTGGATGTACGGGTAGTATAATGGGCTTACGTCTATATCACGTTGAAATACCGGTTCTCATATAACCACTGAAGTTAAGCAACGTCTAGCCTAGTCAGTATCTAGATGGGTGACCGCTTCGGAATATCAGGTGCTCTAAGCTTGGATGTACAGGTGGTGTAATGGGCTTACGTCTACATCACGCTGAAATAACGGTTCTCAGAAGTTAAGTAACGTCGAGTCTAGTCAATACCTAGATGGGTGACCACTTGGGAATATCAGGTGCTGTAAGCTTGTATGTACGGTTGGTAAAATAGGCTTTCAGCTATATCACGTTGAAATACCGGTTCTCGTATATTCACCGTAGTTGAGCAACGTCTAACCATGTCATACCTAGATGGGTGAAAACTTGAGAATATCAGGTTGGATGTACATGTGGTATTGTTATGGGGTCCTCCCCTTTTTCATATAAGTGGACTCGACCAGTGTGTACTTAGACTGCTGACGTTAAATACCCAGAGTCAGTCAGTGACAGTAGAGAGATTGAGATTGAGTTGGAGGTAGAGTAATAGTGTGAGGTAACCGCTTGTAGAAGTCACAGTTACAAGCACGTAGACTCTAAGGAAGTCCGTATTGGCAGTGTTGATCCCTCTTCTATCCTTAAAAACGATCGACAATTTACTGCGGTTAAGTTTTTTTTATTTAATTTTAATTGTTCTTTTAATTTTCTTCTTTTCTGGAGATAAATTTCATAGGAATTGTCTGAATGTTTTTGTCTGTCCGTGTGATTGAGATGAGGAATGATGAAAACTAAGAAAAGCTGATGAGTGGAAGAGATAGAGTAAACAAAATTACTGGGGATGGTAGACAGAGATAAAACAATGGAAGGAAAAATAGAACGAGGGGAAAAAGAAAATAAAAATGGAAGGAAATTAAAAAAAAAGTAAAAGACAATAATATTTTATTTAAAATTACCTGAAAGAAAGATCAATGAAATAAAGTAAAGGAAAAGGAGGAAATCTAAAAAAAAGAAGACAAAACAATAATCGTCTCGCGATTTGATGAAACGGAATCAAAAAAGAATGAGATAATCGAATGAAGTTTTAGATTTCAAAGAAGTGAAAAGAATGAATTTAAACATTCTTTTTCCAAATAACAAGAAAAATGAAAGCAAGTATCCACATTTCAGACCGAAGAAAAACAAAGTAAAGGTCGGAAGAATGAAAAATGTCATGCTTGAAAACAAAACACAGGAAACTCAAAAAATGCGTTGTATCGAAGGATGAAAGAAAAAGTATTCGGTGATAAGACAAAAAATTCAAGAATTACAAGAAGAAAAGACGGTGAGCAAAAAAAAAAAAAAGAAAAAGAATTTAAAATACAATTAATAAAGAATATCTTCGGCATATCAGAGAATAAAAGAAATTGTAAATCGAAAGTAAAACAAAGTAAAGACTAACAGAATATAATCCAAAAAAGCAGACGATATAAAACATCGCCAAATGGCGGGTATTGTCTGCATATGCACTGAATATACCAAACGTCGCTATTCGACCTTTTCCTGTTGATAATCCGGACAGATTTCGGAAATATGAAGACTTTTTCCGGAATCTCCTTTTCGATTTTATATAGTTTTTTTTTTCTTTCTTTAATTTTTTTCTTGTTTTTGTCCTTTTGAAAGAGGCAAAAATGTACAATTCGTAGTGGCTATAAAAATGGCGTCTTTTGTAGTCATCCTTGTAAAAATGGTCAACTCGGTTTGGTAAAGACAGTGCGTAGATAACAGAAATATGCAGGAAGAAATCTTGTCATTAAAAAGAAATTTGAGGAAGAATAAAATAGAAAATTATTGAAGTAAATTTAGTGAAAGAAGAAGGAATAAGAAACAATTGTATGAGAATGGGAGAAGATAGACTAAAAATAGACGTATAGAAAAAGGAAGAAGGCATGAAACGAATTTGCAAGGGTTAAGATGATAGGCCAAAGAAAAATCAAAGGGCAAAGAAAGGAATTCACACAGAAAAAAAGAAAACAAGAAACAAAAGAAAAAAGAAACGATGGCAAATTACAATGACGAAAGAAGATTCTTGAAATGGGAAAACATAGGAAATGATTATTTTCTATCAATACGAGGAAAATCATGGCTCCCCACAGATTTCTTTACTTGTAATTGAAGGCAACGTTTGTTTGTGAATTTACATATGCGTCTAGCAGGATCCAAAATGAAAAGAGTGATTCTTTATCACGATGCAATGATAGAATATTTTGGAAGATCGTTTCGTATCAATTTTTCTGGCAATATTATAGCCTATGAGGAAAATGGAAACTTTTCTTTCGCTTTCAAATTTGACTGATATTTGCAGTCAAAGAAAGTGTTCATGTTTATTGTTTATAATTCTATCGTGGTAAACACGTACACCCTTAGGATCTTGGCGCAAAATTTAATTAATGAAACGACTTTTCCAATATATGCACTTTTAGATACTAAAGAAACGAATGGTAAAGAATTGTTTTTTTTTACATCAGGTCATTATATGAGAGTTATTGTACAACAGATTACAAGACAATCGAAGGCTGACTCTGTGTCCTAAAAACACCTTGAAGCAAAAGCCAGAAAAACTAAATAGAATGAATGAATTTCGATCTCACCTAGCTTATGTAATAAGCTACAAAAATCTGTTGCAATATTACTTTCTTTTCACGATGGTAACATTTCTGGACCAAAGAAATAAAAGTATGTATATTTGATGACCAATGATATGCTGCAGTTTTTTGTGTATATATATATATATATATATATATATATATATATATGGAACTAGTAAGCTAGCACAAATGACTTGACTCACTTTATAGTCCACCAATAGAAGGTTAACCAATCAGAAGACGTAAAATATTCAATCCGTCGTGTATAAAGGCGGCCATTTTGTTTACTCTACCCGAATGTCCAGTTCCAGCTTGTCAGGCGAAGAGAACCAGAAGGACGAACTACGCTCTGCTACTTTTACCAAAATATCCACTGCTAACCTGAACAACGCTTTCCTACTGTCTTCGAAATATTCACTGCTAACCTCTGGATTCTATACTCAAAGAAGACCGTCATCATGAACAACATGATAAGCTTTAAAATATGATAATAAAAATTCAAATAAAAGCACTTCCTACAAGCCTATCTTACATATGTTTGAAAAGAAAGAAAACAAGAGTTAATCGAGGGACAAATTCAATCAGTTAAGCGCCATACTTGATACAGACTTTGGGCGGTAATGTTTATTTCGATTCATGAATGACAAAGCAGAAGACAATCTGCTGCTTTTTTCTACGATAAACTAGTTGACAACCACGGCTATTAGTACTCAGTGTAGTTGGCTTACGGCCACATCAGGTTAAAACACCGGTCCTTGTACAATCACCGAAGTTAAGCAAAGTCGAGCCTGGTTAGTACCTAGATTGGTGACCGCTTGGGAATAACGGATGCGTTGATGTGCGTGTGGTGTAAGAGTTAATACATCGGAATTGTTAATCGGAGAGCCGAGTTCAAATTCCAGTTGGGTTCGTTATATTAGCTTCCTCGCAAATCACCCTGGGAAAGTTATGAATCCACATATTCTCCCTCCAACTATGGATTAATTAGTAAAATTTGTATCACTGAATCATTATTATCTATAAAAATATTCTTGCAATCTAAACATATTTTTCTGATTTTAAATAACCTGCAAAGTGTTGATAAGAATTCGAAAACTAATCAATATACAGACCTCAATTGAACCTCATACATACGATTACTGACGAAAGCTGCAGAGAAAATGATCGACACTTTATACATCTATATATCAAGTATCTGCCTCCAGTAGCTATACAGTCATTAAAAGTGCTAACTTCTGACCACAAATGAAGTATTGTTATGATATCTGGGCTGGAGTGGAAAATAAAAGCATTGCTAAGCGCTATAAAGAATGGAATGTTGTGGATAATCCAGTTACGTACTGAACATTTGCATCCCGGACAATTATGTGCCGGACATTGCGTCACCGGACATTTGCGACTCCGGACAAATGCGTCCCCGGACAATTGCGTCACTGGACATTTGCGACCCCGGACATTGCGTCTCCAGATATTTGCGTCCCCGGACATTGCGTCCCCAGATATTTGCGTCCCCGGTCATTTGCGACCCAGGACACATGCGTCACCGGACATTTGCGACCCCGGACAAATGCGACCCCGGACAATTGCGTCCCTAGACATTTGCGTCCCTGGACATTTGCGACCCCGGACATTGCGTCTCCAGATACTTGCGTCCCCGGACATTGCGTCCCCAGATATTTGCGTCTCCGGACATTTGCGACCCCGGACAAATGCGTCACCGGACATTTGCGACCCCGGACAAATGCGTCCCGGACAATTGCGTCCCTGGACATTTGCGTCCCTGGACATTTGCGACACCGGACATTGCGTCTCCAGATATTTGCGTCCCCGGACATTTGCGTCACCGGACATTTGCGACCCCGGACAATTTTTGTCCCCGGACAATTTTTGTCCCCGGACATATACGACCCTGGATATTTGCGTCCCCGGACATGTGCGTCCCCGTACAATTGCGTCCCCGGACATTTGCGCACCGGACATTTGCGCCCCTAGACAAATACATAACTAGATGATTGCGTACCTCTGATAATTTTTTGAACTCACAATTTTTTTTAAAGAGTTGCTTAATATAGAAATTTTCACACGAACATCTTTAATTACTCTAAACAATCTGAAAGTTAATTACCATAATTTAAAAATAAAGTGAAAAAAAAAATTAAACCAAGAGAAAATTAAGCTAGCAGTTTCAGTTTACTCCAGCAGTGTGTACCACAAACATCTAATAGATTCTGGAATTTATTGATTATATTTTTATTTGGAACCCATAGATAAGTTCCGAAAATCAAACTCTGGTGGAAAAATATTTGTAGACGAGTAAGCTTACAGATATCATACGAAAAACGTCGATGAAACAAAAACATACTGGCGATGTGT